TTCTCTTGAATGATCAAAGATCTATGTTTATTAAACATGATAGGCAATTTTCACCGTTTTCCGACTAAAAATAGTGGAGAAATCATCGATTTTCGGGATGAAGTCTAAATGTGCATAACGTAAGTGCTGTAGGATCCCTACCTACAACACTTACGTTATGCACGGACTCCAAATTTAATAGAAAAATCAAAATTTGTTTGCCGCTTTGTATCATTAATGATATGCTTTTAAGATAGAATTTTTTGATGAAATTTTAAAATTGATAATATTTTCTAAGAGTTGAGCACAAAATTTTAGATTATTTTTACTTTCTAACATAATTTAAAAGCGATCAAAGTTGGGGTCAAAATTGACCCCACATGGATAACGACGTGAGAAATGCTGCGTGAATAGCGGAGGGTTAANCGGACTCCAAATTTAATAGAAAAATCAAAATTTGTTTGCCGCTTTGTATCATTAATGATATGCTTTTAAGATAGAATTTTTTGATGAAATTTTAAAATTGATAATATTTTCTAAGAGTTGAGCACAAAATTTTAGATTATTTTTACTTTCTAACATAATTTAAAAGCGATCAAAGTTGGGGTCAAAATTGACCCCACATGGATAACGACGTGAGAAATGCTGCGTGAATAGCGGAGGGTTAACAACATTTTTTTCTTGCTAGATTTTTTATTTTTGATAAATAAAATTATAATTTGTAATTTGTAATTTGTAATTCTATATATTCTATATCCTTTGATCTTAATTATTATACATTTCTTTAATAGTTTCATCATAAAATTTTTGCAATTCACGACGTTTAATTTTCATAGATGCTGTTAAAAATCCACTATCCAATGACCATTCTTTTGAACAAAGTTTAATTTTTTGCGGTGTTTCCATTTTATGTAGACCAACACTTGAACAAAATTGTTTCAATTCGCTAAGAATTTTGGCCACCAATTCTGGATCTTCACATTGTTGTTCAAATGTTAAATCTTTTTTATTCATTTCCGCTGCTAATCTTGCTAGATTTGCTCGTGCAGGCGCAATCAATGCAATAACATAAGTATGCATTGAATCACCATAGATACAAACATTTTCAACATAGGGAAAATTTTTCAATTCTGTTTCCACCTGGGTTTTTTGTTTTTGGATAGAATAAATTGGTTATTTGGATAATTTAAAAAATTTGAGAAACAACTTACTTTACCCAATGAAATATATTCACCAAATTGTAATTTAACTAAATCTTTTTTACGATCAATAATTTTAATGGCACCAATTTTATTAATTTCGCCAATATCACCCATTTTAAACCACCATATACCATCTTTTTCTTCAAACGATTCGGCAGTTTTATCCGGTAATTTAAAATAACCTTTAGCTATAGATTTACCACCAATAACTAATTCACCACGTGGATATGGTTTATCATGAACGGAATAACCACCTTCTAGCCAATCGATCAAACGTATTTTAACATTTTTCAATGGTGTACCAACATTACCAATCGATAAATCATGTATGCTCATCAATGTTGCTGCACCACATGTTTCCGATGCACCATAACCAACGAGAATTTGTACATTAAGAAATGCTTTCATCATACGTTGTGTATCCGGACTAAGTGGTGCACCACCCGATATCATATATTTAACTTTACCACCAAGATTTCCATTCAAACGTTTACAAATTAATTCATTAACCATTGGTGTATCAAAACCACGTTCCAGCCAATAATTTTTATAAGCAAGAAAAAATTTAACCAATTGTTTCATAAAAACACTTTTCTTTTTCTCAAAACGATCGGTAATTGCTTTCCGTATTCGATCCATAAGCAATGGTACTGCTGCCATTATTGTTGGCTGTAATAATTTCAAATCACCTTTTTGTCCTTTCAATATGGCTGTTGAATTATCCATCATTGTATATGGTGATCCATAACCGATTTTAATTCCAATACCAAACAATGCTGATTCGACCATTAATTCAAATATATGTGCTAATGGTAATGTTGCATAATATGTATGTGCATCATATTCATCGATTATTTCTTCATTAAAAATTGCATATGCAGCATGCATTGTTGCAATAAAATTTTCATGTGTTACCAATACACCTTTTGGATTACCAGTTGAACCTTTTTTTAAAAGAATAATTTTGTGAAACTCTTATCATTAATTGATTTCAACAATTACCTGATGTATAAAGTATAACAGCCAGATCACTTGGTTTTGGTGGTGTATATTGAAGTTCATTTTCCCGTAAATAACCAATTCTTGCTAAATAATCATAGGTTATTAATTTTATCGAACGATTTTGTTCTTGCAATTTTTTATTAAAATCCTGTTCAGTTAATGGTTTAGAATTCAATAGACCATGATGTACTTCAATAACATAAATATTTTTAACCAATGTCATTTGATCAATCAATTCAAATAATATTGGTAACATATTACTTGTTGTTATAATATGTTCCACTTCAGTTTCCTGTATTCCATATAGTACACTTTTTTTACCTAATGTTGTATATAATGTTGCTACAACAGCACCGATTCGAAACAATGCATGTGCACATAAAAACCATTCTAATTTTAAGATTGGATGAAAAAGTTAATTAATTAATTAATTTAGGAAAAATTATCACCTGAACAGCTTAATTAGGTAAGCATAACATAACTTACCTAAACGTGTTTCAGAAAATATCAATACATTTTGTTGATATTGAACACCTTCAGCAACAAAACCATATGCAAGATTACTAATCTGTTTATCAACCTCTTCCAATGTCATCCATTCATATTCTCCAAGATGATATTTAGTAAATTGTTTACCACTTCTTGATGATTGTTTAACAACATTTAATATTTTTCTTTGTGCTAAAATTGGCATATTTTTTGGATTTAATTTCAATACTAATTGTTGTGATTCCGGTAATGTTTGTGCTTTCAATATATAATGATTACGAAAATTATCAACAACCCGTACATATGGTGAATAGGGATCGTTTGGATTTTCTAATGCTGCAACAACTTCACGTTGTTTTTTAATAGCAATCCATGGTTGTTGAATTAGATAATAAATTGGAAATGTTATTATATCGAAAAATATTACAATCAATTTTACGATAAAAACACCCATTGAAAATGGTGATTTTGGTGTTATTTGTTCATCATCGCTGTCCGACAGAATTCCATTACCGGTTGTTGTTGTTGTTGTACCGCCATTGGAATGATGATTTTCAGTCATGTTTGTTATTTTTGCTTATGGATATTCAAGAATTCAAATCAAATTATTTTCCGTTTAATTCTTCAATCAATCAATATTATTCACTCGGTACATATGAAATTTTTTTTTTTGAATAACTGTTTTAAAATAAATCTTAAATGAAAATGTTTTTTTGAACGAGTGTTGGTTCGTTCTTTTTTCCGCGAAAAAAAAAGACATTCAGACTGTGTAAGTCAAATGATTACTTTTTCAAGATAACCGAAAATTAATCTCTAAATCGTGAGACATTTATTTCTGTGAATTGATAATAATGATAACAACCCGAAAGCCGACAACAACAAACCGTTTTTTAAAAATGCGATATCAATTGATACAATCAAAAAATGAATGTATGGTACCCAATAATTTGAGATTGATACCCAATAAAATATAAGACCATAGTTATTCGCAAATCATTATCATCATGATAATCATTATTAATGAAATTATCAATCATTTTTTTTCTTATACGTTCGAATCAATCAATCAAATAGTTTTTTCTGTTTCTGTTCAACAATCAAACGTTGTAAACAACAACAATTCCTGTTCAATAAATCCAAGGACAAAAAAATGGAAGAAAATTGAAAAACAACAAACCATGATTAGCATAAATAAAATGATAAATTTTCAATTATATGATTATTTCAAGAAGAAAAAAAAACAGCAGAAAAAATTTGACAATCCATTTTTCATTTAATGTAAATTTTCTTCTATTTGAATCTTGTTCACTAATAATAATTATCTTCAATCGAAAATAAATGTGAATCTTTTTTTTACAGAAAAAAAATATATTTATCACCAAACAACAACAACAACATCATGAGATTGAATAATGTGATTAAAGTAAAGTATGAATTTGTTGTTTTTGTTTTGGTTGTTGTTGTTGTTGTTTTGTTAATTTTGATTTTTTCAAATTAAAAAAATCATCATCATTATCATTCGAATCATCAAATTGATCGATTATTTTCTGTCGTCGATTTAATGGACGTTTTTTGGCAACTGCCAACCATCTAGGACGTTGTTGTTGTTTTCGTCGTCTTCGTTTTCTTTTTTTTTGTCGACGTTGTTGTTGTTGATTTGGTCGACGCCGTCTTCTCCTTCGTCGTCGTCGTCTTCTTCGTCGTCTTGGACGATTATAATTTGGATTTCGATTTGTTAACGATGTTGGTCTACGACAATTACTATTTTCGGAAAATAGATAATATGGATAATAATATGGTGGATATATTATCGTTGTTGATGGAATCACCGGTTCAGTTTCAGTTTCAGTAACAATAGGTTCTGTTGTTGTTGTTGTCGTAACTGAAATTTTAAAAAAATTAAAAAATTATAGATTTTTTCATAAACAAAACTTACAACATTTATAAACTAATGCTTTTGGTAATAATAACAGGAGAAATAATCTTTTCGATATTACACATGGTGATTGTGATGATGGTGGTCCTAAAATTGGTACAGTTTGTATTAATTTTCTTGATTCTTTACGATTTATAACCAAAGATTTGTTATTTGGAATGATAATTGAATGAGATTCAATGAAAATATTCATTAAATCAACAACAACAAAAATAATCAAGAATAACCAACATTGAAAATAAGTTAAACGATACATTTTTTGAATAATCACATCATTCATTCATTGAATTTATTTAATGAAATTTTTCAAAAACAAAAAAAATGTTCAGGAAAAAAAATTAACCCAAATGATGATGATGATGAAAAAATAGAGCAACAATGGTCATCATCAACATGATGCTGTAATCATTCAACTGTATGATCCATTTTTTTGTGTTTCGATTGAATGATTTTTTGTTTGTTTGTTGATTGATTTGCCCAAACAACAAATTGTTGTCACGAATTTCGATTCTTATCTGCATCGATTACCTTATCATCATTGTTATCATTTGATTCATTATCATCAAATCTGATTGGTATTTCGGCTTCTGAAATTGATTGATTAAATTCTTTAGATGATATAATACCATCATCCAATTTATCATCATCATTCAAATCGATCGATTGTATTGATTCGGTTTCATTTGGTAATGCACCACCATCCCCACCATTTTCATCATTAGTTACATTTAAATTCAATGTTATTGATTCGGGACCATTCTTTTTACATTGTTCAGGTATATCCGATGGTATTGTTACGGATAAATTAAATATTCTTTTCACTGTATCGATGAAATTGAGCGATTAGTTTGATAAAAATTAACCGAAAAGAAAACATACTTGGAATGATTGCTTTTTGATAGAATGAACATCGCACATTGTTCAACATACGATTTGTAATCGTACGTATTTTATCATTATTATTTACTGAAATTGTTTGATTCAATAATGATGATGGTAAGGTTTTTGATTGAATTTCTTGTGCAAAACAGAATAATTTTAACGAAAAAATCAATGAAATAATAAAGATGGTTAATATTTTAAAATTTTCCATCATTATTATTATCATTTGATGGATTCTATGTGATCAATCAATCAATGTATGATAACGGAATGATTGACTGAAAAAAAACACTATATATTCTTTCCAGAATCCAATCTCTTAACCTGGATCTTTTAAACGAAAACGAAACTTAATTATATAATTTTGTTTTTTAATTATAAATTTAAAAAAAAATAACTAATTAGGCATGAAAAAATGTTTGTTTAAACAGATGATAATGACAACAGCCAACAACAGATCAAATACACATCATACTATTATTTGACTTTGATTTGAATCGCATTTTACATTTTATGAATTTTTTTTTGATGGACAAAACATGAAACAAATGAATAAATAAAAAACCGAATTCAATTATACGGAACATTGAATTTGAAGGATTTTGAAAAAAAATGTTAATTATCATAACATCCATTGTGGTTGTGGTTGACTTTTGAAAATATTAATTTCATCTAATATTTCACCATTCTGATCATCCGATATTTGTTGTAATCGAATATGATATTTATCAATCATTAATAAACGTGTATAACCATAATCAAGAAAATGACAGCTAACCCAATTTTTCAGTTGATTAAATGGTGGATGAAATTCTAGATTACCAGCACTACCTGTTGTTATATGAATAGGACCTTCAGGATGATCATATGGATTTTTGGAATGTTTTCCATTCAATATTGTATAATTATAAATCGGATCTAAACGTGCATAAAAATGTTCATGTCCATAGAATTGTATATCCACACCATATTTGAAGAATAAATCTTCCAAACCATATTGTCTTGGTGAATTTGGTCGTCGATGCATCCGAATACCTTGACGGATTTCTTTTCGTTCCATTGTATGATGATCACATGAATCATCACCCATTTTTAGACAATAAAGTGGTCGATGTCCCATAACAATAATCCATGGTTGTTGATGACGATTTTCATTAGCCCGTTTTAAATCCTTTTCTAACCATCGATATTGTTGTTCGATTTGTTGCCAACCATATTCCGTATAATAATAATATTCCGTTGAAAACATTATAATATGAATTGGACCAATATTCATACTATGATAATGATTATTCAGACGTTTATTTAATGAAATGTTTTGCATCAAATGATCATTATTATCAAAGCGATCACCAATCATTGAAAATCTTGAATCATAATGACTAAAATTATTAAATTCTTCATGATTTCCTGGACATGTCATATATGGAACTTTCGATGCAATCGGTTCAATTGTTCGCATAAAATTATGTCCACACCAACCATTTTCCTTTGGAATAATTGAAAAAAAGGTTATCATTAACCATATGATATTGACAAACAAACTTACCGAACAAAGATCATAGGCAAAATCACCAACATGAAATATTGCATCGAATAGATTTTGTTCAACATCTTTTTTCAAATATGGTAATGATTGATCATTAACATAACCTAAATCACCATAGATAGCAAAACGTGGTAACCATTCATTTCCAATTGGTAATGTTTTAAATTCATAAATATCGGATCGATTTTTTCCCTGTTCAATCCAATAAACTATGATGATAATAATAAAATGAATGAAGAAGATTCTTGGATAATTTTTCCAAACTTACAATAAGTTGTATTTGGTTTAAGTAAATTTAATAATGCTCTATATGTACAGTATTTAATATCTAAATCTTTAAATGATTCCATTTCAGCAATTGATGATTGTAATTGTTTGGTTGAATTATTGTTCCGGCTATAAAATACTTTAGCATTTTGTTGCTGTAATGGACATGTTTGTTCAGGTATTGTCCATGTTACAATCATTTCAGTTTCATTAGCTGAAATTTTTTTGTTTGTTTGTTTAATTAATGTTAATGATCAAAAACAAAAGAAAAATCTTTCAATACTTACTTCCAAGTGACAAATGAATCTGTTCAAGTGTCAAACAATAATTATCGATAATGATTGCAATTAGCAAAATTATTAATAACGATTTCATTGTTTTAATGATGTTAAAGTTGTTGTTGTTCAAACTAAGAAAAGATTTTTGTCTATTAATTGATGATTTTCATTGTCATCCTCATTCATCTTTGATCATTCTGTGTTTGTAATGGAAAAATCAATTGATCATTATAAAAGAAATGGAAAAAGAATTTAACAGCAGTGAACTAAAGTGAGATTTGCTGTCATTTTTCTGTTTTTTTTTTATTTTTTGATCAAAAAATCAATTTTATCGATCAATGAGATTTGTTTTGAAAAAAATTGATAAGATTTACATTATTATCAATATTACAAATACAATACAAATGACAAAAATGTTTCTTTCTTTATCAACATAATACATTATCAATCCGAAACAATCATTGATAGAACAAAAAGATAAAAGATTTCCAAGTTTTTTTCAAAGATGTAATAAATTTGCAATAAAATAACTGTTTATCCATGCATCCAATTTGGTTTTGATGAACTTTTGATGATTTCAATTTCATCCATAGCCTTTCCGTTCTGTTGCATTGAATGACGAAAAAACAAACAAATCAAAATATTAGTTGTAATGCTAATTTCATTTTTAATCAAATAAATAATAAATAATTTACTTGATCCACAGAAATTTGTTGTAAACGTATACGAAATTTATCTTCAAACATTAATCTAGTATAACCATAATCCGCCAAATATTTTGTAACCCAATCATCTGATTGATGAAATACTGGATGTGATTTTACACTTCCTGCACTACCTGTTGTAATATGGATAGGTGCACCTGGATGATCATATGGATTATTTGATTTAGTTCCATTATACATTTTTCGTTTATAAATTGGAAAAAACCGTGCATAAAAATGTTCATGACCATAGAATTGAATATCCACACCATATTTGAAGAATAAATCTTCCAGACCATATTGTCGTTCACCTTTCTCATACATCCGGATACCTTGACGAATTTCTTTTCGTTCCATTGTTTGATTATCACAAGATCTATCAACTACTTTAACACAATANTTTTTTTTATTTTTTGATCAAAAAATCGATTTTATCGATCAATGGGATTTGTTTTGAAAAAAATTGATAAGATTTACATTATTATCAATATTACAAATACAATACAAATGACAAAAATGTTTCTTTTTTTATCAACATAATACATTATCAATCCAAAACAATCAATGATCGAACAAAAAGATAAAAGATTTCCAAGTTTTTTTAAAAAGATGTAATAAACTTGCAAGAAAATAACTGTTCAAAATCCACGCATACATTTCGGTTTTGATGAACTTTTGATGATTTCAATTTCATCCATAGCCTTTCCATTCTGTTACATTGAATGACAAAAAAACAAAACAAAACAAATATTAGTTGTAATGCTAATTTATAATCAAAAAAATAAATAAATAATTTACCAGATCCACAGAAATTTGTTGTAAACGTATACGAAATTTATCTTCAAATATTAATCTAGTATAACCATAATCGTTAAAATATTTTCCAATCCACTTATTTAAACGATTATATTTTGAATGTAATTCTTTATTACCTGCACTACCGGTCGTAATATGAATAGGTGCACCTGGATGATCATATGGATTTTTCGATTTATGTCCTTTATATAATCGTTGTTTATAAATTGGAAATAACCGTGCATAAAAATGTTCATGACCATAAAATTGAATATCTACACCATATTTATGGAATAAATCTTTCAAACCATATCGTCTTGATCTTCCATACTCTAGTATACCTATTCGTAATTCTTCACGTTCCATTGTTCGATGATTACAAGAATAATCACCTCTTTCAATACAATAAAGTGGTCGATGTCCCATAACAATAATCCATGGATGTTGATGACGTTTTTCATTAGCACGTTTCAATTCTTGTTCTAACCAACGATATTGTCGTACGATTTGTGTTCGAACATCTTTTTTCAGATATCGCAATGATCTGGCATTTCGATAGCCAAGATCACCATAGATAGCAAATCGTGGCAAAAATTCTTTATCTTTTTTCAATGTTGTAAAATTGAATAATGATGATTTTTTACCACCAAGTTTAATTCTATAATCTGATTTTCAAAAAAACAAAAACAAAAAACAATGAGAAAATCAATGGAAATTCGTTAATCATACAATATTTAGTTCCTGGTTGTAATTTTCTTAATAGTGCACGAAATGTAGTGTATTTAGTGTTACCATCTCGAAAATATTTGCATATTGCTTTTGTATATTGTTTCAACTTTTCTTCAGATTTATCATAATGAACATATGCGATTGGTGAATGACGATAATATTTATACGGTTCAATCCATGTAACAATCATTTCGGTTTCATCGGCTAAACAGTAATCAATCAATCAAAATTCAATACTTGAATGCAAATGAATTTTTTTTAATGCTCAAATATCAATATAAAAAAACAAACAAACTTACATCCAAGTGAAATATGAACCTGTTCGATTCCATTAACAATGTTAACAAAACAATAAAAATCCATCAGAATTAGAATCAATAAGAATTTCATCTTGATTGAAAATTTTCATAACGAAAAAATAACTGATAATCCAAAAAAAAAACAATCATTTTTAACTTTTTTCGATTTTTTCCATCAACGTTTTTTTATAAAATGATATTGATATAGGTAACATTTTCAACAACAAATGAAAATTTCATTTGAATGTCATCGAGGTTATTAGAAACCAGTCATTTAAAATGTCATTGAATCAATCAGTAATCCCAAACAAATTTTTATTTTATTCAATGAAAAAGAAAACATCAATTTCTAACATCATCATCATCATCGATTCATTGATGTACAACGTTCATCCAATGTGGTTCGGGTGTACTTTTTAGAATTTCAATTTCATCCATAACTTTTCCATGCTGTTAATTGGAAAAAAGAAAATCAATCATTTTTAAAAAATCATAAATAAGTCAAATAATCAAATACCTGATTAATCGAAATTTGTTGTAAACGTATATGATATTTATCTTCAAACATTAATCTAGTATAACCATAATCCTCCAAATATTTTGTAACCCAATCATCTGATTGATGAGATACTGGATGTGATTTTACACTTCCAGCACTACCTGTTGTAATATGAATAGGTGCACCTGGATGATCATATGGATTATTTGATTTGGTTCCATTATACATTTTTCGTTTATAAATTGGAAAAAACCGTGCATACAAATGTTCATGTCCATAGAATTGAATATCGACACCATATTTGAAGAATAAATCTTCCAGACCATAGTGTCGTTCACCTTTATCATACATCCGGATACCTTGACGAATTTCTTTTCGTTCCATTGTTTGATTATCACAAGATCTATCAACTACTTTAACACAATAAAATGGTCGATGACCCATAACAATAATCCATGGATGTTTTTGACGATTTTCATTAGCCAGTTTTAGTTCTTGTTCTAACCATCGATATTGATGTTCGATTTGTTGCCAACCATATTTCGTATAATAATAATATTCAGTCGAAAACAATATGATTGTTGCCGGTCCAATAGTCATACTGTGAAAATGATTATTTAAACGTTTGTTTATTGGATCTGAATGAATTGGTTGACTACGATCACCAATCATTGAAAATCTTGAATCATAATGACTAAAATTATCATGTCTTTCATGGTTACCCGGACATGTCATATATGGAACTTTCGATGCAATCGGTTCAATTAATTTCATAAATTTATGTCCAATTCTACCGTTTTTCTATATTTAAGGAGAAAATCACATTCAGTTCATTCAGTTCATAATAATAATCATTGTCCATACATACACTATTAAGATCATAGGCAAAATCACCAATATGAAATATAACATCTATTAAATTTTTATGAACATCTTTTTTCAAATATGGCATTGATTTGGCGTTTCGATAACCTAAATCACCATAGATGGCAAATCGCGGCAAAAAATTTTCATCATTTTTCATTGTTTTAAATTTAAATAATGATGATTTTTTACTATCAAGTTTAATTCTATAATCTGATTTCGAATAACAAAAGCAAAAAATTATTGAGCTAACATAATCAATTTTACAAAAAAGTCTTACAATATTTAGTTCCTGGTTTCAATTTAGTCATCAATGCACGAAATGTAGTATATCTAGTTTTACCATCTTTAAAATATTTAGATTTTGCTTTTACTGTTTGATTTAATGATGTTTTTGATTTGCCATAATAAACACTAGCGTTGAATCTAGAATGATAATAATGTTTATTTGGTTTGATCCATGTAACAATCATTTCAGTTTCATCGGCTAAATAATAATCAATCAATCAATCAAAATTCAATACTTTAATGCTAATGGATTTTGTTTTCATACACGAAAATCAAACAAAACTTACTTCCAAGTGAAATATGAACCTGTTTGATTCCATAAACGATGTTAACAAAACAATAGCAAAAAATTATCAATAATAGAATCGATAATAATTTCATTTTCACTAAAAGTTGGAAAATTTTATAAAAATTTCATCAACAAAAAGAAAAAAAACTCTACTGAATTTACTTTTATCATTTTTCATTTGGATTTTTTGCAGAACAGTATATGTAACATTTTCAATTGGAAAATTATTTTTTGAATGTCATCCAGGTATATGTGAAAACCAGTCTGAATTTGAAATCAATTTTTTTTTTTTTTTTTGGAAATGTTAATACTTTTTCCAAATGAAAATTTTGACCTATAGAAAATACTGCTTTGAATTAATGATCAAAACAAATTTTTATATTTTCAAAAAATTATATTTTATTCAATGCGAAAGAAAACATCAATTTTCAATGGTGTTCAACATTCATCCAATGTGGTTGTGGTGAACTTTTCACAATTTCAATTTCATCCAATACTTTTCCATGCTGTTAATTGAAAAAAGAAAAATTATCAGTTTTTTCTTTGAATGAAAAGTAAGTAAGATAAATGTTTTAGTTTACCTGATCATCAGATATTTGTTGTAAACGTATACGATATTTATCTTCAAACATTAATCTTGTATAACCATAATCATAAAAATGTTCGGCTACCCAATCATTTAAATGATTAAATTCTGGATGTAATTCTTTATTACCTGCACTACCGGTTGTAATATGGATAGGTGCACCTGGATGATCATATGGATTTTTTGATTTAGTTCCATTATACATTTTATATTTATAAATTGGAAATAACCGGGCATAAAAATGTTCATGACCATAGAATTGAATATCCACACCATATTTGAAGAATAAATCTTCCAAACCATATTGTCGTTCACCTTCATCATGCATTCGAATACCTTGACGAATTTCTTTTCGTTCCATTGTTTGATGATCACATGATTTATCGCCCATTTTTAAGCAATAAAGTGGTCGATGTCCCATAACAATAATCCATGGATGTTTTTGACGATTTTCATTAGCACGTTTCAGTTCTTGTTCTAACCATCGATATTGATGTTCGATTTGTTGCCAACCATATTTCGTATAATAATAATATTCCGTTGAAAACAATATGATTGTTGCCGGTCCAATAGTCATACTGTGGAAATGATTATTTAAACGTTTATTCAATTTATCCGAATGAATTGGTTGACTACGATCACCAATCATTGAAAATCTTGAATCATAATGGCTAAAATTATCATGTCTTTCATGATTTCCAGGACATGTCATATATGCTACTTTTGATGCAACCGGTTCAATTGATCGCATAAAATGATGTCCAACTTTACCGTGTTCCTATATAGAAAGAAAATCATTCAGTGTTTTTTGTTTTTCCAAATTGATAATAAAAAGCAAACATTCATACATCATTAAGATCATAGGCAAAATCACCAATATGAAATATAACATCAAATAGATTTTGTTCAACATCTTTTTTCAAATATGGTAATGATTGTTCATTGACATAACCTAAATCACCATAGATAGCGAATCGTGGTAACCAATTTTCTTCGCCCGTTTTCAATGTTTTAAATTCGAATATTGATGATTCCAAATCATCCATTTGAATTCTATAATCTAATGAATAGAACAAAAAACAATTCAAATAAGGTAATCAATAAGAATATGTTAATATGTTAATTTGGCTTACGATATTCAGTTCCAGGTAAAAGTCCGGTTAATAATGCACGATATGTTGTGTATTTAGTTTTATCATCTTTAAAATATTCGGATATTGCTTTTACTTTTTGATCAAATGATGATTTGGCTTGACCATAATAAACAACAGCATCCGATGTTTTATCATCATGTTTATGTGGTTCGGTCCATGTTACAATAATTTCCGTTTCATTGGCTAAATATAATTTGAATAAATTAAAAGAAAACAAAACAAAAACAAACTTACATCCAAGTGCAATATGAACCTGTTCGATTCCATAAACGATGCTTATGGTGCAAAAAAATACAATTAATACGAATTTCATCATTATTAAGCTTTGTCTGATGATCTTAGAAATTTTTCTGGAAAAAAACTTACTTTAAATAGCAAAAAAATAATAGCGAAAATCTCTAGATAAGATCAAATCAATGTAACAAATAAAATCAAATCAAATACTTGGGAACAATTTTAGGCTAATTAATTGAGACAACCTGGAGTACATCAATCCTGTTGAGATTCAATAATTAAAAAAATAAGACATTTATTTTGATTTTTCAAATTTTGTCTTGTTTTATCGATTCATTATCATTATCAATTTAATTTTTTTTACAATCTTCAAAAATGAAATGAATCAAAATGAAGCAAAATGCATTAAAACTCATTCAATTAAAAGATGTTAATTAATTAATTAATGATGATTATGATGATGAGTTTCATTGCCGTTGATAACAGTTTTGTAATAATTTTTGTTTGTTTGTTCAAATTGAATTAAAATCTTTTTGTTTAAAAAAAGTTAATTAATAACAAAAGTATTCGACTAGTAAATATTGTATATAAAACATTCGGTGGAATTTATTTGAAAAATGTGAAATTATTAAATGATTGGATGTCAGTCACATCATACATCCAATAATAACAAGCAAGTAAATGTCAAAAAAAGCTAAACGTCAAGAAAGACATGCCAAACTTTCAGATCCAACTACAACACCACAAATCGATGATCGTACATTATTGATGTTAACGAAAAAAGGTTATCGTTTACTGACCATTGTTGGTTTCGGTTCATATGGCGAAGTATATAAAGCTGAACGATTACGTAACAATGAAATTTGTGCCGTCAAAATTATTGATCTATTNTAAGTAAATGTCAAAAAAAGTTAAACGTGATGAAAGACGTGCCAAACTTTTAGATCCAACTACAACGGCACAAATCGATGAACGCACAATATTGATGTTAACGAAAAAAGGTTATCGTTTAATGACCATTGTTGGTTTCGGTTCATATGGCGAAGTATATAAAGCTGAACGATTACGTAACAATGAAATTTGTGCCGTCAAAATTATTGATCTATTGCGATGTAGTCAAAAATATATGCAAAAATTTTTACCAAGAGAATTGGCCGCATTGATGGAAATAAGACATGAAAATATAATTCGTGTTTATGATATATTTCGTTCCAATAAAAAGATTTATGTTTTTATGGAATTTGCTGCCAATGGTGATTTGGCTAAATATTTAAAAAAACATGGTATGCTTTCCGAACGACGAGCTAGAATATGGTTTAGACAGGCATGCCAAGCACTTCATTATCTTCATGAGGAAATGTGGACGGCACATCGTGATATTAAGATCGAAAATCTATTACTTAATGACAAATGGAAAATTAAATTAACGGATTTTGGTTTTGCTACCGATGTACTCGATATGAATGAAGATAATATTTTAAGCCAAACATTTTGCGGTACATTGCCATATTATTGTCCACAAATATTTCGTCGACAACCATATAATCCATTCAAAGCTGATACATGGGCAATGGGTGTTCTATTATATGCTATGACACATAATCGATTTCCATTTCATCATCGTGATCCTAAACGTATGATGCTTGAACATATGGATAAATTATATATGCCTACAAGGATACGAGAAAGTGCTTCGGAAGAATTAAAAGATTTAATATTGAAATTATTGGAAACCGATGAAGAACAACGAATATCTACTACCGATATTATAGCCCATCAATGGCTATTGTATGATGATGAAACAATGAGCGAATTTGACAAATAAATAAACAAAAATAATTATATTTTATCGAGTAATAATCATATTTTTTAACAAATCAATAAAACACGAGTTTTTAATCAATTTTAAATTAAATTTATTTTCACAAACATATAAATCGAATTCAACGTGGTTTGCTAAATGTTTGTTTGTTTTTCATTTCTCTGAGTGAGATCACAAATGGAAAAAAGTAAATCGACAAATACAAGTTCGGAAAAGCTACCAAAATATCCGATTGCGACTGGTCAAATATTGGATGGACGTTTTTTAATCGAAAGACATTTTAATACGGAAATATTTAGCAATTATTATCTTGGAACATATCATGATTCGGATCGTACACGATGGATTTTTATCAAAATGAAACATAATCAAGATTCAAATGATATTGATATGATTCGATGGGAATATAAAGTTTATAAATCATTGGAAACATCAGCAGGAATGTTACGTGTTCCACAACCGTTATATTTTGGATCAATTTTAACCTATGAAGCAATCGTTTTGGAATTATTGGGACCAAGTTTATTGGATATGTGGAATAAATGTGATCAACGTTTATCGATTCGTGCTTTGGCACAGATTGGCTATCAATTGATATGTTTGATGAAATATTTTCATGATCGTGGATTTGTTTATCGAAACATAAGACCAGAACATTTTCTTTATGGTGTAACCGGTTCAGAAAAATGGATGTGGATGTATGCTATTGATTTGAAATGGTGTAAAACTTATTCCAATGAACAACAATCGCACATAAAAATGGAACAGGCAAATGGTCCATTACAAATTGGCACTCATATTCGCTATATGTCAATCAATGCACATCGTGGTGTCGAACAAAGTCGTCGTGATGATCTTGAATCGATTGGTTATTTACTAACATATTTATTTTGCAGAAAACTTCCATGGATGGAATTGGAAAATATTGTCGATCGAAATGAATGTCATAGACGTATTGCCGAATGTAAAGAAAAATCATTATCAACAATTTGTCAACGTATGTTGCACGAATTTGAACAATATTTGATGACCGTAAGAAAATTGTCATTCGATGAAAAACCAAATTATCAAAATCTAGGTGAATTGTTTCTAAATGTTCAACGATCCATTGGATTTGAATCGAAATTTGATCTTTATGATTGGAATATATTTCATCGGCCAAAAAATTAACAATTTTTTTTTAAACAACAGATGACGCTCGATCGTCAACTGGCTTTTATTTTGGTTAATGGAAAAATAAATAAAAATGAACCATATTCAAAATGAATTATTCCGACAAAATATGAATGAAGCTTTTTTCATTTTAATTTTTTCCACTATTAAATAAACTGTGTAGGTGTGTGTGTGTCTGTGTCTGTCATCCGCGAATGAACAGAATTTTTTGAATTATAGAATTTAGATTTTTTTTATTTTTGTTGATTTGATTGACACACAATACAATTATTAAGAAAAAACTAGACAAAAGTTGGCTTTGAATACGAAGAAAAAAAATACAAAGAAAATGGCCTGGATGAATGCAATTTAGAATTGATGACTATACGATTGAAATACTTATATTCTCATTTGATAATCATAAAGATGATTTACTTTGATTTGAAGACCAAGATTAATATAGAAAAAAATGGTTATGTTGTGTGTTCAAATCGCGAAGATATGACGACGACGATATTTTGGTGAAGAAGTAAAAGTTGAATATATTTGGATGGCAAGAAAAAAAGTAGAGTGAGGTGAGTGAGATTATTTGAATGGGATATTAGATGATGATGAATTATATTTGTTTTAGTATTGGCTTTATATTTGTCAATCATGATTTGAATAAAATATGTAGATTGAAGAAAAGTTAGTATTTTTGTTTGTTTCATTTGGTTTCATTAAAAAAAATAATAATAAACAAATACCTTGGATTTCCGTATCCACCACCACCAATTGGTGAAAAACCATGATCGGACATTGGTTCAATACGTGGCGGATATTTGTTACTGTCTCAAATATTTCAAAATGAACATTTTGATTATTCATTCATTCATTCATCATATGATTGGTTGGACGATTTTTGTCGATGTTGTCAAATATTGTTATTGTCAATTGATTTTGTTTTTTTTTCAACGATAAAAAAAGAGGGACGAGAAGAAGAAATCAAGAATATATTGTTCGTTAGTGGTTCATTTCAATAGTGAAAAAAATATTTTTCGACGATATATGTTTAAATCGAATAAAATTCAACTAAAAAAATAGAGATATTTATATTTAGAATAGAGAGCGAGAGAGAGAATGATTTGCAGAGGCAGATTTTAAAAAGATTTCATCAAAAATTATAACGACTAGAGATAAAAATTTTGGAAGCAAAATGTATTCTACCAATCAAAAACACCATGGAGCAGATTCAGATTCTATTCTTTATGAGCACACATAATTAATGGCCAAAAAATGGGAGATTTAGAGAATTTGTTTATCACATGCGATACACAATCACAATATGTTCATCAATCGAATTTCTTTGATGATGAAAAAAAAGCAGAATGCCGAATAATTTCGTGAACGAGATTCGATCGTTATCACAGTTTTTCGTTTCGTTTTGTCTTTGGTTAATTTTTTTTGGCAATCGATCAAAATTAGATTAGAGCGAATGTTTGTTTTCAACCAAAATATTAAAAAAACGATCGTGATCAATGATTCAGATCAATATTGGTCGTTTTTTGTTTTGGCTCAATATATTTTTGGCACTTTTTTCTGTCGTGGATACTATTCAAGGAACATATATAGAGAGATCGAGAATGGTCAAAATCACCTAGAATAATTATCATTTTTCATGATGAGCAGAGGGTGTTAAACAGAGATAAAGATAGATAGAGAGATAAGGGTTGCGATCAAAAAGTGCGAGAAAATTTTTTTGGACGAATTGTGTGCGTTTATATGCGAGAGATCGAAATAACGCAGAGCAAAAAAAAAATCAAAAAAAAAAATCCAAGATTAATAAATATGAATTAATGAAAATTAAATCATGTGATTTTGGTTGCTATTATCAATGCATACCTTCTACCGCTTGGTGAACGTGATCGTCGTGGTCCACCATATGGACGATCACTTCGTCCATAACGTGGTGGTCCACCCCCACCGCCACCACCCGAAGGAAATCGGCCGCCGCCACCGCCGCCAGATTGAAATGGACGACGTTTGTCACCGCCATCAAAACGTCCGCTACCGCCACCAAATCCACCACCATCACGTCCCATGCGACGATATCCACCGCCATTACTTCGATAACCACCATCACCACCACTATTAAAACCCCGTGGACCGCCACCGAATGATGATCGTGGACCATCGAAACGTCCACCACCACCACCACGGCGTCCATTACGTGATTTACCGCCATGACTATGTTCGACACGAATTTTATTGGCCGAACCCATAAATGATTTGCCATTCATTTCGTTTACAGCCAAATCGGCTTCGGCAATATGATCAAATTCAACGAAAGCAAACCCGGGCGGATTCTGTGCAACCCAAACATTGGTCAATTTTCCATAACGACCAAATTCGGCTTCAATATCTTTAAAGAATACAAAATTATTTCCTTGCATCATAAAACATGTCATCAAACCTTCTTTAGTAATACGATCACCTATACCACCGATAAATACACGGTTACGCCGGTCGGATGGTACAATAGGCATATCGTTATTATTATATCGATCAATTTTCGGTTCTTTTATTATTGAACTTGGTTACTCGAAAAAAATTTACACCCAACAACAATAATCTCAAAGATTATTTGCAAATGATATTTGATGAAGGTAACAACAACAGCAAACAGATAATTACCACAAAATTTCGATGATAATTCTCACAAAAACAAGGCAAGACAAAGACAATTGGTTCGGTGTGTGTGTTTATGTGAGCGAATGTTGATGAAAATCAAAATGGAGTCTTCGGGTTGTGCTCATCGTCAATGAGTTTGCGTGTACTGATCATTCGAATAAAATTCTTTACAGCCGAATGAATAATGCGCGCGCCATCTAAGAACATTTAGAATGATGAGAAGAAATATAGTTGTCATTTAAAAAAGAATGTTTATTTTATGAAAAAACAAAAGAAAATTGATTCATTTTTTTTGTTTTTGCATCGTTGTTAATATTGGTGGTTGTTTAATTTTAAAAGCTTTATTCAAATATTTTACACTGTAATGTCGTGCTGCAGCATTATCAATTCCGGGTGATTTTGTTAAATTATTGAATATTTGTTGTTGTTGTTTTAGTAGTTGTTGTTGATAATCAGTCAAAGGTGATGCTGGTTGTTTTGCATCATTGTTTGGTGTTGGTGTTTTTGCTGTTGCAGTTGCTGGTGATCGTCGTTTAACAATGAATTCATTTTCTCTTAATATTAGAGGAAACCAAGGATGACTACAAACATCGAAAATATTTGGACGTAATTCTGGCTGTGGTTCTAACAGACGATCAATTAAATCTTTTACATCTGGCGATGATTTCATTTCAATCACATCACGTAATTTATAACGTTTTTCTAGCTGAGCTTCATACATTTTTTCACGATCACTTTTATCGAATGGATAAGTTTTATTGATCATAATGAATAACATAACACCAAGACACCAAATATCAGCCATAAATGGATCATATGGAATTTGTTTCAATATTTCCGGTGGATTATATGATGGTGTACCACAATATGTATGACTTTTTTGAACACTGCCATCTTCCAATATTGGAACAAAGCGACTGAAACCAAAATCTGTTAATATTGGATTCCAATGTATATCCAATAGGATATTGTCTAATTTTAAATCACTTTTTTGAATAAGATTAGGATCAGAATTAATTTATCAAAATCAAAATCAATCAGTGAATTTACCGATGGGCAATTTTATGTTCATGAAGATATTTAACAGCACGTGCAATTGGACAAAACCAAAGCCTTGCATGCCATTCGCATAATTCACCATCATTTCGAACACGACTGCCAATGTTACCATTAGGCATAAAATCCATAACAATATAAACTTTACCTTGTGATCGTAATAATTTATGTATCTTTATACAATTTGGATGTTGTAAATTACTGATTATTTGTAATTCACGCTTTAAATCATCATCTAATTTAGTATTGTTTGGATTTTCAACATGAACTATTTTTATGGCAACAATTTGTCCATCCGGTACATGTTCAGCTTTATAAACACGTGCCTGACCACCGGAATCAATTTTAATCAGATTTGTATAGCCACGTTTATATAAAACGTCCATTCAAAAGGCAAAATAGAAGAAAAAATAATGATGATCGAAGGTTATATGGCGCCGGTATGTCCAGAATATTTTTTCCTTTCGGAAAAATTTTCAACAAAATTCTACGAAATTTATTCAAACAAAAAAGTTCGCGAAAAAAATTTAAATTAATTAAATGAAATGTTATTAATTTTTTATTTTTCCAGAAAAAAATTCAATCTTTATACAGAAAAAAAATCCAAAATAAATATTGCGTTTTACAAATTGTTTTTGAGAGAAAAAAATAAAATCACTTACTCCCCACAAGTTAGTAATTAAAAAAAGGAAAATTTATAAAAAAATCAGTCTTTGTGACATAAGATAAAAACATGAATTTTTCGACCCATTTCACGAATTGTCCCAGAAAAAAAGAAAGATAAAAAGAGAGAGAATACCCAGAATAGTATTGATGGAAGTTTAAAGCTATATAAAATTGATGTAATGAAAATATGATTCTATGGAATGTGAATTAGTTTGGTTTTTTTATGAACGAAGTTGATAAAATTGATTATTAGTCGATAGATTTGGCTGTTGTTGTTGTTTGATGATCATTTTTGTTATTCGACCACCACCACTATTAGCATTGGCATTATTATTATTTCCCATTGATAAACGACGAGGTTGTTGTGGTTGTTGTTGATGGGGATGATTCGGTGATGATCCATTGCCACCATAGCCATTATATTGATGCGGCCAACCATTATTGATGAATGCATTGGATTTTTCCAAATGCCAACTTATTGGTCGATGTCCAATATGAAAATGATCATCATCATCAATATGATGATTATTATTAGCATCATTACGATTTGATGATTGACGAAGTGCAGATTTAGCTAGTGCTTCATCAACACGAAATGTACATGATCGTTCAATACTTGCTGGACTTGCTCTTGATGATGATGGTGTTGATGATTCGGATGTTGATTCCGATGATGATGATGATGTACAACCACCTGAAGAACAATTCCCATTGCTATAATAATGTTGACGATGATGACGATTATGATGATGATGATGATTTGATGGTGTGGATGTTGTTGGTGGTGTTAAATGCTGCATCGATCGACTTTTGGAAGGTGGATCAATCATAAAACGATCCGATAATTGTAGGCTAGAATCATTAAACAATGCTGTTATTAATGGTAGATTTAGATCCGATGTACGTTGTCTCAATTCTCTCAGACGTGATTCTTTGGATTTTTTTGTTGTCGGTATAATTTTTGGCTGTTGTTGTTGATCTTCGTCGTTTGATGAAATTGATCTTGGACTTGAAATCTATTTGGAGGAATGAAATGATAATTATTAAATTGAAAATTCTCAATGAAATTTTCGTCATAACTTACATTCGACGACGATGACATTGGTTGTTGACTAGGCGAAGAAATTGTTTTTGAAAATTGTTCAGTGTTGATGTTGTTGTTGCTGTAGGTTTTTCGATTATAATCAGCCGATGGTGGTGGTGTTATATAAACAGCTGATTGATCATTATTATTATTGATTTTACTTAAATCTAATGTTAGCTTTTGTATCTCCACAGATTTGTCGTTTGCCGTATAATCACCACCATCACCAAGTTGATTTTTGATAAATTGTCGAAATGTATTGGCAACTGGTGTTTGATTTTGTTCGGTAGTTTTTTTGGTTGAATTTTCTAATTTTTCAATTACTTTTGGTTTTTGCTGTTGTTGTTGCGGAGGATTCAATTGACCAAATTGATATAAATTTGGTTCAGATCCGGCAAAATGAAGATGATTTGTAACCGAATTATTCAATGGATACCATTGTTGTTGATGTTGTTGGCCACTCAAACCAGCAGAATGGATACAACCATTTTGTCGAAGTAAATTGGTCAAATTTTTCTGTGCTCCCGAGCCAGGACGTGATAATGATGATACACCGATACGCATACCAGTTCGATGATAAGTTTGATTTGGATTTGGAACCGAATTTAATGATGGATATGGCCGTAAAGGTAGATTGATCGATAATGGAACATGTTGTTGATAATATTTTTTGGCATTCATATTGTTTGGCGTTGTTGTTTGATTGATCGTGGCACCAGAATCACCAGAATATGGAATATTTTCATAAATATGATTTGTTTTTGGTAAATTTTTTGATTTCAATTCTGTTATTGTTGTTTTATTAGTAGAATTATCGTTATTAAATTTTTGTTGATTTGGACTAGAAAAATCAGCTTGATTATGCTGCGGCTTATTATGTAAACGTTTCTCTTGAGCAAGTGGAGAATAATGATGATTCGATTTTGGTGATTGAAAAGTATTATCATCATCATCCGAAGAATCAGAATCTGAATCTGAATCCGAGGAAGAATCAGAATCGGATGATGAATCCATTGATGATGTTAATGGCAACGGTGGAGGTATATTATCAATCAATGAATTGAGAATAATTTTTTCTTTTTCTTGTTGTTCAAATTCTTTCAATTCAGCCAATTCTATGGAATTAATTTCATTGGAATCATTTTCTGTTGGAACATTATTGAATGCATCGATAACAATATTATCAACAGCATCGATACCTTGCTGTTTCAATAAACGTTCAGCTTCTGGTTTCAAAATGGTTGACAATACTGTAACACTACTTTTATTTGATCGGTTACTCTTATCGTTTGATGATGAATCAATTTCATCTGCATCAGAATCATCCGATTCTTCATTTGTTTTTGTTGTGGATTTTTTCGATGGTTTTGATTTTGTTGACGATGATTTGGATGATCGCGATGATCCACCATTAATATTTAGACATAATGAAACTTTGGAATTTCTATCCGGATTAACAACAACGATTTCGGTTGGTAAAACTGTTGTACTGATGTTTTTAATCTGTGAATTTGATGAACAAGATGATGACGACGAAATCGGTGATGATGTTTCAGCATTATTGGCCGTAATCATAATGTTTGATATTGATATTGAATGTTTTTTCATCATTGAAGATTTATCTCCTGTATGATGATGGTTAAGTGGATGATTTCTATGATGATGATGATTGTCATTGATTGGTTCACTCATTGCTAATGATTCCATTGATACAACCGGTTGCGGGGAATGACATCCTGAAGATGATGATGATGATAATGTAATTGCACGATGACCAATATTAAGATGCCCATGGCCATGATGATGATGACCATTCAATGACATTAATAAATCAGATTCTGGATCCGAATCTTCATCACCTAATACGGAATGCATTTTTTCCGATGCAATACCCGATGTTGTATTTGATGATGTTTGTGATATAACTGAATTTCTTTGTTGTTGTTGTTGATCATCATCATCGATTGAATCTTTAATTAAATGATCATCATTACCATTACCATCATTGTTGTTGTTGCATAATAATCCATAGCAAACTGATGATGACGATGTCGAAATATCCAGATCGGATGTTATCGGTGATTTTTTATGATTACCTGTTGAACTTTTGCTACTGGTTGCCGAACTAAATTCGAATGGTGATATTGATTTTGCTGTTATTTGTTTATTAGAATGATTATTATTATTAATTTCTTCGCATATAACACTGCTTGATGCTCGATTCGAATTGGCGGTGATGAGTTGGTTGGTGGTGGTCATATTGGCTGTTGTTGATGGCGATAAAGATGATGAAATACAATTTTCACGATATTTTCTTCGATTTATTTCAGCTTCTCGTTTTAACATTTCACGCATTTTTGGCAGTACCATCAGATGAAATTGATGACTTGCACGTGAAAACCATAATAAAAATCTGGCAATTTCTTCCGAACGACAGTAATAAATAAATTTACGACTTTGGGCACCGATTGAACGAATTTCAAATTTTTTCTTATCGAATGATAATTTCCCAATATCAGACCATGGAAAATAAGAGATCCTTGTTTTTAATCGATGATAATTTTGTTGATTTGTTGATGAATCAGCTGCATAAATCATCAAACCAGTAATGGTAATTGCCAACCATATATCTCCCGATGGTAATGTTGCTTTCTTATTACTGGAGGTGGATGGAGTGGTTGAGGTGGATACCATTTTATACAGATGAAAATTATGTCCAGCAATTGGATCGGATGCTTCACGTATAAACATTGATTGTGCTTCCGATTTGGACATTCCTTTATGATCACAATGTAAGGCAGGTAAATAACGTTGAATATAATCACGGCCTAATTCATCAATCACCTGATCATTTCCAAATGGAAAAATATTATTAGGATTATTATTTGCATCAAAAAAAAATTCTTTAAACAACAACAACACTAACCCATTGTGGAAAATAATGATCCGGTTCAAAATAACGAGTTTTATGCAATTTTGGATTATAATTTCCATAATCAGCTTGCAATGCATATGATGCTAGGAGGAAACAACGTTCTTCCGACATTGATTGTTCATAACGTAAAACATTTTCCCGTAATTGATGATAATAATAATATTTGGCAATTTTACAACTACAACATTAATAATAATCAATTTATTTTTTAAATATTTTAAGTTAAAAAACTGACTAATTCAATTACCTTATGAACAGATAAGAATCGACATAGAATTGTACACGAAAATATACGTCAAATAATGGTAGACCTTTATTGTCCAGACCCTGTTTATATTAATTAATTGTGTTTAATTTGATTATTTTTTTTTAATTTCAAAGAAAAACGTACATTATTCTGTGTTTTCCATGATTTCGGTGCATATTTGGATAGTTTTTCCAACGGATCCAAAAATATTAATGTTTTATCTATGTATGGGGAGAAGGTAAAATATTTTTTAAAAATTTATTGAAATTTTCGCTAGGTGAAAATCAAATTTATGTTTGTGTGTGTTACACTGAAGGAAATTTTTTTCGGAAACTAAATTAATTAATTTAACTTTTCAAAAATGATCATCATTGAATAGTGCATGTGATTTATGTGTGTGGAAAAGTAAGCTTATAATTGAAAATTTTGTTCTCCATTCTTTTGACACTTACCATTGGATTCAATGGCCAAACCAAATAGTTCAGGTTCAAGCAATTTTAAAAATTTAGTTATCTGTACAAATAGTTCGCATACTTTGGCTTTGACCTATATAAAAATAAAAATTGATGATGATTTTAATAAAAACATTTTCCATAAGTAATATTATCATTTTTTGTTTGAAATTGTTGTTGTCATTTTTTGTTTATCGAAAAACAATTAAGCAATTTAAGAATCTCAAAATGAAAAGGATGCATATCTGAATCAAAGAAAAAAATGTAATTTTCTAAATTTAGCATTTTCCAATATTATCCTAGTGAATATGAATGATGCTGACAAATAAAAACAAAAATGAAAAATGATCATCTCTCACAGACAAATCCAAACTATATTAACTTTGATTGTCGATTCGATTTGAATTGACCATCATCATTTACATCGCTTCTTCGTTTAACATTCATTTCATGATGAATGAATGAATGATGTGGCCATATTTTTTTTGGATAAATATTAAAGCCAAACAGAAAAAAAAATATTTTTTTTTTCAAACCAAAAAAAAGTGTGAAGGAAAAAATCTATGTTATCATCATCATCATCATCATTCAAAGCAATCGATAAAAGTTGCAAATACATTTTTGTCTATATCTATGCAAAAGTTAGCAAACTAGAAATAAATTCAATGGAAACCGTTTCTTTAATTTCATTACATTTCATATTTCTTATTTCATTTTTTCTTCTATTCTGAATGTCACTTTTTCCAGGTAAACATTCTTTCTCTCTTGCACTGAAAAATATGATGACGATGATAATGATGATAATCAAGTGCAGTAGTTATTCAAGAAGTGATATGACTTTGGAATACATGATTTCGATCATGTAGTATCACCATCCACATAACTTAACGATCATGATGATGATGATGTGAAATTTTTAAAGTAAAACAGGTAAACAAAATTACTTTCAAAACGTAACGAACAACAACAACAGCGGATCGCAATCGAAATTCATTCCTTTTCTATTAAATCACTGAAAAAAAGACTTACCTCGACAAGAAAATAGAGCGGATCTTCATTCTGTACATGTACAACGATAAATTTTTTGCCCATAGGCATATTTGGATCATATTGATTTGAAACGTTTCGTCGCATTTTTTCATGTGATAATAATATTTTTGTGTGTGCTATGTTAAATGATGATAACAATGATGATGATGGATTTTGGATTAAAGATGATTATAAAAAACACATACAAAAATTTTTAATTAACTAATTGATTGGTTGATTGATTGATGAACACATCTAAAATTGATTCGAAAATTTTAATTTAATTTAAATGTTGTTTTCATAAAAGAACAACAACAACAACAAAAAAATTGAGGAAATCACATAACTGATGACAGATGATATTGCTTGTACGTAGTTGGAATTTTGTTTATTATGAAATCGACAAATGATAATGATAATGATGATGATGTCGTCATTAGGAGAGAAAAAAAGGTTTTTGTTTTTTTACTTTGATCGATATATCGATTGTTTGTTGGTGATGCTGTGGATGTTTGTTGAAAAATTGATTCATAATTTCATCATAATCTATTTGGTTATGCAATTTTGTTGAATTTCATCAGCGTAACAAACAGAAAAAACTTTCAATTTTTCCTTCTGCGTTGTTGTTTATCGGAAATTGACATAAAACACAAATATTTTCCCCAAAAATCCTGTATTGATGATGAGAAATGAGAAAAAACAAAAATTTAGTCAAAGTTTTTTTCAACTGAAAACAATTACATTAAATTCAAATGGGAAAAACACAAACACACACGAAAAACTTTAAAAATCATTCAGAATCTATATTACAGAACATTTAGGGTGAAAAAAGCATTGAAACCCGAAACACTTTCAATTTTTTTTCAGTTTCACACTCAAATAGAAAAAAAATGTCACATCAGTTGACAATTGTTGAATAATAAAAATTTAACCCAGAAAAAAACCAAGAAAAAATTGCTTTCGAAAAGGAAAAACAATTGAATTTGCATTCGCTTTAGATTGAGACATCAAACTCAAGAAACAAACAAACACACACTCAAGACGAAAACAAAAGGATAATTTGCCGAAAACAAGTAAAAAATTTTCAACCAAAAAACAATTTACTTATTTATTCTGGTTGTGCTGTTGTTTCACATGAATTTGACATTTTTAACACCTTAATGATGATGATTTTATTAAGAAAAGAAAAGAAATAAATTTAGCAAAAGTTTATTTCAATTGATGTTTGACCAGGATTTTTTTCTTCTTCTTGCAAACATTTTTTGCCGGTTCGCCGGTTGGTTGGTTGTGAATTTCTCGATGGCAAAAGTGAATGATTTTTTCGTTATTTGCTTGGTTTGGTTTGTTCATAGATCACCATTAATATTGAATTATTATCAATCAAGATTGATCTTTGTCGTTGGTTGTAGTCGTCGTCTTTGTTTTATTTGTAAATTGCACACAAACAAACACACTGGACAGACAAGAAAAGATTATATGATTGGTAATTTATTTCATTTGATGATGATCAAATAAAAGATTGAGCGTCGTAGTAATATTTATCGAAGACGACTATGGCGACAAAGATCAATATAAAAAATTATTGGAGATAAAATATGTTGTTTTCCTTGTTGATATTTGGCGACTAGTAAATAAAGTTGTTGTTGTTTTTTGGCGACAATTTCTTCGTCGAATAACGAAGACGACGACGACGACAATCAACAACAACGATGACGACAATCAATTAGAAAGTTTTTAACATTTTCAAATATTTCATATGAAATCGATCAGATCGATCGATCTTATGACTTTTTGATGCCGTGGCTATGCTAATAACTTACAAACAAACTTTTTACTAACTGACCACCACCACCTGAATATCTGAAAATCGATAGAAAGAAAAGAAAAAAACCCTTATTGGTTGCAAAGAACAAAAATGTACCTTCAATTTTTGTTGTTGTAGAAAATATTTAATCATGATATTTCAGGTAATGAAAAAAAGAAACGAAAACTCTTTATTTATTTCTCTTGAGCATATCACACACACACTTCAAGGTTTTATCAATATGGCCATTATAGCCATCAGTGTGTGTCTTGTTCAGGTGAAATGAAGTTTTTCCTTTCTGTTCACCACCACCAACAAAAAAAAATGCGAAAATGAAAAAATCTTTCCATAACACACTTTATACAACACCAGATAAACAAAATATGTAGTGACGAAAAAAGAATAACAAAAAGAGCCACTGTGTTTTATTTTTCAATCAGTTAGTTTTTCTTTTTCTTTTTGATTTGAACATCACTTTAATTTTATAAATAAAAAGTATTGAAAGTTACCTGTTGTTGTTAAAAAGAGAAAAAAGAGATAACCAAAAAAAATTGAGAAAGCGAAAGAGAAAATGAATGAATGATGCTGATTCGGGGGAAAAAGAGGTAACATTTGGATACCCAAATAATGATGATGAAGATCGACGACGATGAAAAAAAACTGAATGAAAATGATGCCCCTCTCAATCAAACCAAACTAACAACAACAACAAAAAACCGGCCGCATTCGGATCGATGAATCGATCGTTAATTCACAGAGAAAAAATGAAATGAAAATAAGTCAATATGATGATGATGATTGAATGAGAATATTAAACTAATGGCCTAAAAAATGAAAAATATGAAGAAGAAAATATCACGACAATCGGGTTCATTTTCTGGTTTTTCGTTTACCGCGGTTGGCTGAATATCTTAAAATTATTTTTTTGAATAAAAAACTAATATTGAGAAGGTACGGTTGTTTTTCTACAACAACAAGGTAATTATTATATAATATGGCTACCTGTTACTGTTGTAAGACTTTCAACCAAATAAAAACTAACATCTCTCGTTTCTGTTTTGAAAGAAAAACCAGAAAAACAATATAAGTAAGTTAGTCAGTCATCAAGTGAATGAACTTTGAATGAATAGTAATAATATTATGATTTAGCTAAATCATTATTGTTATGGAAAAACATTCAAACTAACCAAGCACATCAATATGAATAGAGTGAGTGAGAGTAAAAGATCCGTTCATTTGAATCCTTTTCTAGAAAATGAAATTGAATCTTCAATTTATTTCTTGGGATGAAATGAAAATGTAAATAATACAATGTGATTATTTAATAATTACTATTTTCCTTCTCAATGAAAACTAATATATATAAGTCAATGGGAAAAATATCAAAGAAAGGATGTCAATGAACCTGAAATGAAAAACCATGATGATAATGATGCTCACATTGATTTATACGGGGAAAAAATATTCATTTTTTTGGAAAATTGATTGATTCAATCAAATTTGACCATTCAATTTGAAAATAATGTGATTAAAACGAACCAAAAAGAAGAAGAAAATTACAACCCTGTTGTTGTTGTTGGCCAATAGTATTTGAGCATGTTTAGATATAATCGGATGATTCCTTGATGGTTTCTGGTCAATCAATACAATCCTTTTTTATTTAAACCATATAAATAAATAAATTGCCCAAGTGAAAATCCTAGCTAATTTATTTTGACTAGTAGTGGTTGTTGTTGTTGTGCCACCATTTGAGAAATAAAATTTTTTTCATTTCATTTTTTTATTGATTTTGTTTAGGTAATTTTCTCGTGAGAGATATTCGAAAAGATTGAAAGATTCGACAATAACTCGACAGGTAGCCAGAACAAATACAAACCAATACAATCATAATTTTTCGAAAGTGAAAATACTTTAAAATTTGTCTTGCGAGAAAAAAATTTACCATTAAACTTTTGACAAATTTCAAAGTTATTTGATGCTGATTGAAACTTTGTTTACATTTCTCGTTGTATATTTTATTAACAGAATCATATCATAAAAATGACTGCTAGAAGGGTTTATGACCTGATCACGACGAAGACTTTTTTCACACACACCCACTCACTCTAAACAAACAAACAAAAACATAAAGATGATTTCACTTTCTATTGAATTGAATAAAAAAGAGAAACAAAAATTCTTGAGAAGAATGTAAGTGAACACTCACCAAGAAATGAACAAATTTTTTTCGCAATAAAAAATAATGATGAATTCACATCGCGGATACACAAAATGGATTAGTAATAATAAAATCTATTATCCACTAGTAACAACCGAAAAAAAGAAACAAACCAAAATTTAAAGATAATCATCATCAAATGGTGATGATTAATAAAAAACTATTGATCAATGTGGAAACCAACAGAAAACAATATCATCATATAGTTTTCATAAATCTCAATTCTCTCCACTCTCTTTGATACCATAGTGATCAACATTCCATCTTTATCAAAGACATCCAAAAAAATCAAAGTGGTATTACTATTTTTCATTTTATAGTGCAATACGATAAAAAGAAAGCGTAAAACTTTTTTACCTTATTTGAATTTAAAGATAAATGAAAAAATAAATTGCCGAACACTTGATTGGATTGGATCAAAATCGATGATAATGATGATGATATGATGACACTGTCCACAACATAAAACATATCATATCATTTTGTTTCCAAAAAATGTACAATTTTGCCGATAATGATAATATCCGGAATCGGTATTTTATAATTTTTTGGAGCACAAAAAAATGACAAAATAGATAGATATCGATTTATGGATTTTGGATTGGATTTTTCAATGTAATCGGTACATTTATACCATTTTAGGTGATAAGATTATTGGATGGAATGATGAAAGTCGTGGATGATAATGATGGCAATCGAGGATGTGAAAGGAAGCGAGACGTGAAACTATATGATGAACTGAAATGAAATGAATCGAAACATAAAACATAAATTTTTTATTTTTGAATATTAAATGAAGCCTGCAAACCAACAACAGCATCCAATTGAATTAGATGATGAAAAAAATCGTTAATAATGATGGTGATGATAAAAATCAAACCAAGCAAGCAACCCAGAAAACCAGGAAATATACCAGGGCGTTTACTCACTATAAATATTATTATTCGTTTCATTTCTCCATCATCATTATCTTGATAGTACAATCTCTTTCTCTGTCGGTGTCTCTTGTGTTTGGTTTGAACAACAACAACAAAAAATTGTCACAAATAAACAGATCAAACAAACAAACACTAAATCAAACCAGAAAAAGTTTTTTGTATTTTGGAAAATTGATGTTTGATGTTTGAGAATCAAAAAACGGTTAGGATTTCAATGAAAAAAATTTTATT